CCACCTCCCCGCTAGGCCCTCCTCCCAGTGAGCGGCCCATCGCCAGGGGCTTTGGAGACCTGCTGGCCAGGCCTCTGACTCTGAGGCCTCTGTCACCTGCCTCTCCCCGCCCCTGCCTCTGCCTCACTCCCCTCCCCCAACTCCCCCCTCTTGGTTCCCACAGGGCCTCTGGCCACCTGCTTTCCCTCACCTGGAGGGACACCTGCACCCAGTCCCCTTGGCCTCTGCAAATCCCATGGACACTCCCTCCTTCATGGGTGGGGTGGCCTTGTCCCACGGGCTCTGCCCTAACTTCCATCTCCGCACAGCAGTGCCCGGCCCAGGCTGTCCCACGCCCAGCGCCAGATAGACCTCTGTTGAAAGGATCCTAGGATGGGGACCCTTGGGGAAGGCATGGAGAACTTCTCCAGAGGCCTGAAAGCACCAACACCTGGTGCCCTGGGACCTGTGCTCCCGCTGTGTGGATGGGAAAATGGAATTTGGGGCACAAGGGGCTAAGCCAGAACCCCTTCCTGCCCCCCAAAGTTGCCTCCAGCCCTGAACCAGGGGCCTAGCCTCCTGCCAAGGGCAGGTCCCACCCACGAGGAGACAGTGCCTGCAGGAAGGGAGCTCAGAAATGGGGCAAGAGGGATGTCTGCCTGGAGGAGGAGAGGCGGCCAGCAGGCTGGAGGGCCTGCTGGAAGGGAGCCAGGAGGGCCCAGGTGGGAGCGGGTGGGGCGGGCACTCTCTGGGGGGGCCGGGGATGCGTGGCCTGCTCAGCCCATAGCTCTCTCCTGTGGCCCGACTTCCAAACACCCAATTATCCCTAAGTGCGTTGGATCGACCGACAGGGCGCCCAGCTCTGGGCTGGCCCATCGCTCCCCGCCGCCCATGTCCTCTCCTCCGGTGTCCTCGTTAAGGCTAATTGCTCTGACATTTCAGCTCTGACAGGCCGATGTGTCGGGGCGTCATGGATCTTCCCCCAGCCAGGGTGGGGGGTGGTGGGCGGCTCCTCCCCTGCCTGTCCCCAGACTCGGAGTCCCACAGGAAGAGACCTGGGACCCAGGCTGGGCGAGACTGGAGGCAGGTGGCAGAAAGGGCCTCTGGCCCTGACCGCCTGAGTGTGTGCTCTGTGGGGAGGGGTGGGACACAGGCCTCACTGTCCCCAGAAGCCCCCAGAACCACAGGGGCAGGGGGACAGCCCAGGCAGTGTGACACCTTGAGTGCCCTCGAGTCTTTGGAGGTGTGTGTCACTCAGATGGGAGCCTTTCCCAGGGCACATGCCAGCTGGGACACGAAGACCTCCCTGCTCACACGGTGGACGCAACCACTGGCCTCTGGATTGCCAGAACCACCTCCCTTCACCGTCTGCCCCTGGGTTTCGACAGTGAGGTCCTGCAGAGTCCTAGGCTGGGGACTCCTGGAGCGGCACCCTGGCTCTGGGGAGGCGGGCAGGACTGGGGGTCCCACAGCCGGCGAGGCCAGTGCTGGGGAGCAGCCGGAGGCCCCGGAAGCCGAGAAGGGGCAGGTTGAACGCAGTCTGCCCTGCCCGGAAGCTCGCCAGGTGCCAGCCCGATGCCAGGAGTGGGCACACTGTCATTACAGGCTATTAAGTCCTCTGGAGGCCTCGCCTGTTGAGAGAGAAAACACTGCAGCTCAGTGCCCCCTAACTCTGACGAGGCGGCTGGATGTCTCAGCGGGCCTGGGAGGGGAGGGCTGCTCCCACGAGGGGTGCGGGCAGAGGAGGCGAGGGCGCCCGGCGGGCAGGCGGGCAGGCGGGGCCGGCGAGGCCTGGAGCAGGTGGAAGGACAGAGGGGCTGGCGGAGCCCCGGCCACGTGCCCATCCAGGCTTCCCTTCCCTTCGTGCCCTGCGCCCCCCTGGGCACCCGCCACCCCTTCCCGCGGTGCTCAGCCGCTCTCCTCCCCAGCAGACTGTGTCAAGGCCGCAGGGCTCTCTCCTGCCTGACCTTCCCCCAGGGAGGCCCTTCCAATCCTGTTGGCCTCTGGGATCTCTGTCTCCCCAGCATGGGGCTCTGAACCCCCTCAGCCCCTGGGGAGGGACCCCACTTGGTCCTGGAAAGAGCTGTGACTCAGGAGATGGAAACCTGGGATCCAAGACTTACTGCGTGACCCTGAGAAATCATGTACCTCCATCTTCCCATCTGTAGAATGGGCCTATAGCGGCTGCACCTGTCTGAGGACAGATGCTGCAATCACCCCAGGAGGCCCAGGCCAGAGGGGACCCATGGGTGGGAAGGAGACCAGGGTGCAGAACCAGGGGAGAGGATGTTGGTGGGGGTGGGCTTTTGGGGGCCCCTCTGAGTCCCCTCGCCATCTGGGTGGAGGAGGGTACTGCGCACTGTTGGGGGAGAGTTTAACTTTGTGCTCTCGGGGGCCCCAGGTTTGGGCCCAGGGCCAGCCAGCCCCGGAGGGGCCAGTGTGTGCAAAAGGCTTCCCAGGATGGATACGCAGATGGACACGTGGTCAGGTGTGGCCCAGAGGCCAGAGGGGCCAGCTCTCCTGCCCTCAGTGCTGGCCTGTGGTCCCACCTGGGGGTCACCTTGCCCAGGGCAGATCCAGAGAGCTAGCTCCCATGCAAGCGCGCCGGCTCAGGGAGGCAGAGGGGTTACAGACAGCATTTGCATCAGTGGAGACATTTGCTGAAAGGCTAAATCCACACTGGGCGGTGGAGGCCTGCGCTCCTCCTGTGCGGTGTTCAGCGGATAGGTCACCCCCCTGCCCCAGGCCCCCTCTGAGCAAACACGCTGGCCACCGCAGGCTGGACCCACGTCATCAAGGGGCCCCCAGCAGCACCCCCAGGAGAGGACAAGTGACAGCCCTGGGGGGCTCCTGGGGGAGCAGGGAACCTGTCCAGGGCTGCAGCAAGCCCGATGCTGGGCGTGGAGGCCGGGCCACACCTGGGGACCACTGGGGACTCAGGCAGGTTGGCTGCAGCCCAAGGCAGGGCAAGCCCACAGCCCTCCACATCATCCCAGCGCACAGAGCCAGCCCCACCATCACCGCCGCGGTCTTTGGCCGACCCTCTCAGTGCCATTCAGGGCACACATCCCTGTGGACCTCCTCTTGGCCAGGCCCTGGGGGCAGGGACCACGGAGACATGTTCTCCGGGAGCCCAGACTCTAGGAGGTGAGATGGGCCAGGGTCTATGCCAGGCATGGGGATACAGCCGAAGGCCAAGCCAGTTCCTGCCCTCAGGGAATTTGCAGAGGAGGAGGAAGAACCCAGGAGAGCAGAGGGGGAGGTTGACAATAGGGACGAGAAAGGGTCAGCGCTGCAGAATGAATGGTAGCCGAGCTGGTTTTGTGGGAGGCATAGGAGTTCACCAGAAGAAGCGGGTGAGGAATGGTATTTCAGTCTGGGTGTCATGGAGCCCCAGGCCCTCCTGGAGCAGGAAATGGGGATAGTCGGGGGTGAGGTCAGTGAGGGGAGGGGAGGGGAGTCACTCAGGCTGCTTCCACAGGGCGATGGGGAGCCATAGAGGACTGAGCAGTGAGGGGCTGGCATGGTCCGATCTCTTGGGGGAAGGTCTGGGAGGAGAAGCGTTGGCTGGCTGCTGTGATGCAGATTAGGTGCTTCCTAGGGGCCGGAGAGCTGCCGGGAAGGTGGACAGCTGGGGTGGACCTGGAGAGGTGGGGAAGGGGGAGTCCAGGGCCGTGGCTCCTACTGTGTTCAGTGTGTCCCCTCGGGCAGCCAGACTCTAGAAAACCCACCTCTAGTGGCTGCCACGACACACACACTGCCTCCAGGCAGCCCTCCCTCTCTCCGCCCCATCCGTCCCTGGGGGTGCAGAGGGCGCTGGCCTAGATGGTCCCTGCTGACCCCACAATGCCCAGAAGCACAGGGGGGCGTCCCTTCCAAGAGTTTCCTTTTTTGAGAGAGGAAACCTTCCCTAAAAGGCCTTAGAGATGCTGGCGGCCTCACAGCCAGGATGTCCACACACCTTTCCCAAAGCCTTGCCTGAAAGTGGGGTGGGCTGTGGGGCGGTTAGGCAAGGCAGGACTCACGCCTGCCTGGCGCTGAGGAGGGGTCCCCTCCGCTCCCCTGGTCTCCTGGCTGCTTGTGGGGGCCAGGGTGGCACAGCCCAGTGGGAACACCATGCATGGAACTCAGGAGAATCTCTTGCCCGGGAGCCCGGTGATGCCAGGGGCCACCCGAAGAAGGGGTGTGGCCTCGGGGACCAGCCCTCGCAGCTCAGGGATAGGTGTGTCCCTGAGGTGGTGACATCCCAAGAGAGAAGTGGCCAGGTGGCCTAGGGGGCATGCTGGGGGCTAGTGGTGGGCCGCGAGGGGTGGAGGAGCACCTGCAGGGCTGCGGTTCAGAGGAGACGGCCCCGCAGGAGCTGGGGGGACAGCTGTTAGAGGCGTCCCTGTCCCCACATCCCTGGTCCTCCTCTGCACTGGGGGTTGGGCCCTGCCGGAACATTCCGGGTCCTGCTAGATGTGCCTGGGGCTCCGGGCACAGGGGCCTCGGGGAGCAGGTAGCACTCCTCCTGAGAAGGAGCCTTGGGACCCTACTGGGAAATTTGGTGACGAATTTTCTGGAAAAGGCAAATTGCTTCCTGACATGTGAGTCAGGGTTTCTGGAACAGCTGCCACCAAAGTTCAGGGTTTTGTGCCACGTGCACCGTGGGGTGCCCAGAATACCACCTCCCTGCGTACCGGCCTGTCTCCCCACCGGCAGTGGGCTGAGGGGCCTGGCCGTGCTCAGCCCCGCACAGCACTCCCGCCCGAGCCAAGATGATTCAGAGGAAGGGCCAGCCGCCTGCCTGGGTGCCTGCGACAGAGGATGCAATTAGATTTAATGGGACAGAGCCCTTTCTCCCGCGCCTGCCGCTCCTGGCCCGCCCCGCCTCCCTCAGGCGGCGGCAGCAGGCGAGGGACGCAAAGGAGGTGGGAGGTGGGAGGTGGGAGGTGGGAGGTGGGGGACCCTGCGGGGCTTTGACGTCAGCTCTGCCTATAAGAGGCCGCTGGGCAGAGGGCTGGGAGACGGAGCCCCGATCTCGCCGGCATCATGCCCACTCCCAGCGCCACCACGCCGCAGGCCAAGGGCTTCCGCCGGGCCGTCTCCGAGCTGGACGCCAAGCAGGCCGAGGCCATCATGGTAAGAGGACAGGCTGGTGCCCGCCGGCCGGAATGAGCCAGAAGCCCAAGGGTGTCCCCCAAAGGCTGGCCGGCGGCTCCGGGCGCAGGGGCCACACGGACGCCCCAGACCCAGGCTTGGCACTCCCCTGCCCGGACCTGGTGGGCAACCCCGGTGCCTGGGTGCCTGGGTCTCTGTGAGCAGGTGTCCCCGGCCCTGCCGTAGCTCATGGTGGGGAGTGCTGGGCAGACGGGGCACAGGCCCCAGTTCTGCTGAGCCAAGGGGTGGTCTGGGCTCCAGGGTGATTCTCATTCACCATCCATCCACCCACCCACCTGTCCGTCCACCTGTCCGTCCTCCATCTGTCCACCCTCCTGGCACGCTTTCCCTGATTCCACGTGGGACCTCCTGCCTTGAACCCCAGCAACCCCGACTCTTGGGGTCAGCCCTCTAGTTCAAGGGGGGACTGTGCTGGGAAGACCTATTGGGCCAGTCCCCTCTGTGAGTAAGTGGGGGCTCCTCCGCCTGGAAGAGGGGTCTTCAGTCTGCCTTCCAAGATGGCTCGGAATCATCAGCTTCTTGCAGGTTTAAAATGGCTCTTGTTTATAGACCTTTAATGAAAACACGGTTTGGGTTCCAGAAGTTTAATTTGCAGGCACTGTCTCAGGGGACTGGCCGTGGGGTAGAGAGCGCCCCCTCCCCCCCGTTAGGCTCCCAGCGAGGTGCCCTCCCCCCACGGAGGCCCCAGCTCTGTCCACACCCCACCCTGTGGTCGAGTGGGAGAGCGGGGAGGGGCTTCTCCAGAACCCTCCCCACCCCCAAGTCATGTTCCAAGACCCGAGGGCACCAGACCCTTCTTGGAAGTTCAGCGGCAAGTGGTGAGCCCCAGACCGGGGGGTTCTCCTCCGTCCAGCCGCGGTCTGGGGTGACGCACCATCTCCCGAGGGGCTCCGCTCTCAGGCGCAGCCTGTGGATATGGCGTAGCCACAGGCCCTGTGCTGTGAGGGAGCGCTGAGGGTGGGACAGCGAAGAGAGGTCATTGCATGGGGCTGGGGCAGGGGTCCCTCCCAGGGAGCCAGACACCAGCCATGTGCTCAGCCCTGCCCGGCCCAGGGGCAGCAGAAGCGGCTCCTGAGTCACCCCTCCGGTCCCTAAGCCGGTTTGGGGGCACTCGGCACCTCCCTGGCCCACTCCCGCTCTATGGCCCCCCTAGCCGGCCCATTGGGTGAGACACCGGAGCCGGGTCCTGCTTCCGAGGAGCCGGCCGAGGGCGGGGGGAGCTGGCGCC